TTGCCCCTGTACCCAAGTAGTTAACAGTCTACTTGGGGAGTACATGCTAATACCAATGACTAGCTGCAAATGCAGTAAGAAACTCAGGGTGAGTTATGGGGAGAAGTGGGAAATAAGACTACCTGTATAGATTGGAGAGAGATTACGGAGAGCCTGAAAAATACAAAATAGTTTTAAGTCAAGTTTTAGAAAAGAGGAGACCAATTTATTTTTTTGAGTAGGATAGTGATCTGATTGACAAAATAATTATCTTGATTTGACTGGCAGTTACAGTTGGTTGGAATTAGATAAGACTGGAGTGGTGGCCATGGGCTAGGAGACTGATGATGACAGGAATGATGATGGTGATAATAGCTAATATATATTGAGCCTTTTCTCTGTGCTAGTACCTGTGAGATACATGATACTACATATGTAGAAATTGACACTCAGGGTGATCACTTGTTCAAAGCCACAATGATAGTAAGTAATAAAGTTAGAATTTGCATATGAGTCGAACTCTAAAATCTATCCTCTTTCTACTATTTTACCAAACAGATAGTACCTGGTCTACTTTGGTGGTCTCCTTAGCGCTTTGTGCCTACCTATATCATAACACTCATGCTAGGCCGTTGTATTACATACCTGTATCCCCTACTAGACTGTGACTCATTGAGGACATGAATCATATCTTAATCATCTTTGTAACCCCAGCACCTAATTATAATTATACAGTAGGTATTTGATGTTTGTTTAATGAAATAGAAAGTAAGGAATAAACAAGAAATAAACATTAAGCTACTTTATTTTGGTACTTGAGAATAGAAGAGCAGTTGAATATTGAAGTTAGTAATACCAGAGTGCTTCCTTCTGCTCCTGCCTTTTTTCTGTATCTGTGATAAATTATCCTCATTCTTCTAACTATAAAAAAACTGTCAAAAGATTGTAATGGGATGTATCCTGTTTTATAGGAATCTTTATAAAATTATTATAGAAAATTTCAAACATTTACAAAACTGTAGAGAACCATGTGAAATATTATACTATGGTATGATTTGAAATGCTATGCCAGCTTGAATAATAATCAAGTCCTGGATAATCTTGCTTCATCTATATCCCACAACTGGATCATTCTGAAGCAAATCCCAGCCATATCTCATCTGTAAAAATATCAGTATGTGTCTCTTAACAAATTGAAACTCTTTTTTTAAAAAAACTACAAAATTATTATCACACCTAAAACTTAACAATAATTATTTGATATCAACTATCCAGTCACTGTTAAAATATGCATAGATGTGTCATAATATTTAAAAGTTTATTTTTTTTATTCTGGATCCAAATAATGTCTACATGTTTCAGTTTATTAATATTAAGTTTCTTGTTCCATCTCTCTCCCTTTATTTGTGGAAAACTTTAGGTCATATAATTTGCCCTATAATTTCTGAATTCTTGAATTTGCTTATTGGATTTCCATGATGTCTTGTAACATGTCTCTGTCTCCTATATCGCCATTATCATGAATCCAACTGAAAATTCTGATTCATGTTGAACACTACAGGGTTTTAACTTTATCAATCTTGCATCTTTCTCTCATACTGAAAATCCCAGTCTTTCAAATAGCAGCATATTTAATTTTGTCTTATATACTCAGCAGTTTAATAATAAAATGCCAACACTTGTCACCAACAATATGGTTACTAAAATAGTTTTAAGATTTCTTTTTTCTTTCAGTTTTCTTTGTCTCTTTGGACTGCCCACTGGGAATAGACAATTACTTGATTGGTTGTAGATTAACTTTGAATTACTCCCATCTGTATGATCATTGCCTCCACGTGGTTTGTTCATGTCATTTTCCTTTGAGTTTTTAGGGTTTACATTTTTAAATTGTAATTTTGTTTTATAGTTATCACAGGACTCGATATAATAAACTGGCTTTTGCAACGTGATGCTATATCTCTGAAGCAGACCTAATGATTTGATTTCGTTTTATTTTGTTTTGTTTTGTTTGAGTCTGAGTCTCACTCTGTTCACCAGGCTGGAGTGCAGTGGCACAATCAGGGCTCACCACAGCCTTGACCTCCTGGGCTTAGATGATCCTTCTGCCTCAACTTTCTGAGTAGCTGATACTATAGGTACATGCCACCATGCCCAGCTAATTTTTTGATATTTTTGAGATGACATGTCACTTTGTTGCTCAACCTGGTCTCCAACTCCTGGGCCCAAGTATTCCCCTGCCTCAGTTTCCCAAAGTGTTCAGATTACAGTCATAAGCCACTGTGCCCAGCCCATACCTAATGATTAAGACTGATTTTAGGTTATTTATAGTAAATATATGCTATTTCTTACAAAATAGGTAACAGGAATTTTAAGAGAACTTTAAATTCCAATTCTGTTAGTAAAGAAGAAAGAACCTATAATACTTACCAAGCCTTTAAGTAGTGAGATGTTAATATAGTTGAAAGGAAGCACGTTATATGGCATTTTAAAAAATTCTTTACCGGACTTGGTGGCTCACACCTGTAATACTGGCACTTTGGGAGATGAAGGCAGGAGAATTGCTTGAGGCCAGGACTTCCAGACCAGTCTGAGCAATAATGTGAGACTCCATTGCAACAAAAGATCAAAAAACTAGGTGGGCATGGTGGCACACCCTATAGTCCTGGCTAGTAGGGAGACTGAGGCTGGTGGACTGCTTGCGCCCAGGAGAGCAAGGCTGTGGTAAAATATGCTCATGCCACTGCAGCCTGGATGACAGAGTGAGTTCCTGTCTCTTAAAAAAAAGAAATATATGTGTGTGTGTGTGTGTGTGTATAAAATCTATTACAGTTGATTCTCTCTATTCATAGATTTTGTATTTATGAATTTGTCTACTCACTCAAATTTATTTGTGACACCCCCCAAATCAATATTCCTGGCACTTTCTTGGTCATTCTCAGACAAGCACAAAGGGTACAAAATTTTGATTTGAGTCCTCCGACATTCCAGTTTTTAGTTGAGTTCAAACAAGATAGTGCTTTGCCTTTTTGTTTCAGCTTTCATACTGTGAACAGATGTTCTTTTTGTGATGTTTGTTTAGTGTCACATTTTTGGGCTTTTTTTTGGTGATTTGGCTTTTTTTTTGAGTTGGAGTCTCACTCTGTCGCCCAGACTGGAGTTCAGTGGCCGCTCCCGGCCACCGCAGCCTCGACCTGCTAGGCTCCGGCAATCCTTCCGCCTCAGCCTTCCGCGTAGCTGGAATTACAGGCATGCGCTACCATGCCCGACTGATTTTTTTATTTATTGTAGAGATGAGGTCTTGCTGCCCAGGTGGGTCTCGGACCCTCAGGTTCAGGCAATCCACTCACCTCAGCCTCCCAAAAGCGCGGGATTACAGGCTAAGCCACCGAGTCCAGCTGATTTTGCTATTTAAAATGACTCCCAAGCATCATGTTGAAGTGTTGTCTGTTCTTAAGTGCAAGAAAGCTGTGATGTGCTTTATGGAGGAGATATGTCTGTTAGATAAAGGCTTGATTTCTGGAATTAGTTATAGTGCCTTTGGCCATGAGTTCAATGTCAATAAATCAACACTATATAAGGGGGATCCCCCAAAATACCAGAATTATCCTTTGGAGGACAGGCTTTTTGTAGTACACTGGTAATTTGTTCCTCCGCATCAAACTGTTAACCAAAGTTTTTATCTGGAAGTTTTGAGAAGGTTGCATCACAATTTTCAGAAAAAATGTCCTGGGTTGTGGCAAACAGGTTCTGGTTCTTCCACTGTAACAACGCACCTCTGCCCACATTGCACACAGTGTTCAGCAGTTTTTGACCAAAAATGGCATGGACCCCCATGCCATACCCTCCCTATTCACCCAATCTCACCTCAAGCAACTTACTGTTCCCTGGATGAAAAAAGTTCTCAAAGGGAAATATTTTGCGATGATGAATAGGTGAAACAAAAAACAGAAGAGGTGAAACAAAAAGCAGATGTGAAACAAAAAGCAAAAGAACCAGTAAAAGGTATCAAAACCGATGAGTTAAAAACTGTTGTGAGTAGTGGAAAAAGTGTCTCCTTAGGGGTATTATATCAAATGGAGAGTACTTTAAAGGTGTCTGAAGTTTCAACATGTAAGAATAAATACACAATTTTTTATAAATAAATTTCATTTTGGGGTCCTTTATATGTTAAGATCTTTAAATAGAAACACACATGAAACAAGGTTATGTATTGATCACTTGACTAAAGTGTCCTTTATCGATTTCAGCAAGCCTCCTTGCCATCTAAAGAATTAGATTCTTAAAATATTTGTCTCTTGTAAAGCTTTTTATTTAGTCTTGTTGAATGGTTAATCTTTGGGAATTATTTTGGTTCCTGAATAAAACTAGAACACTTTATTCTTAGAGCCAATAATTCTGCATTCTTTATTCAAATCAAGTTATATCCAAAAGAAAGACCACTTTTTGCTTTAGATTAAATATGAAACAGGTAAAAAGGAATATATTGGGAAAGTCAAGGGCAAAGGAAATTATTGTTATGAATATTGTAAATAAAAATTGTATTTCAAGATGCAGCCTGCATTTCCTATACTCTAGACCACCCTTATTTTTTACTTTTTCCATAGCATTTAACAACTTGTAATATACCATGTAGTTTATCTATTGTGTATATTTTCTGTCTACTGGGAGCAGAAATCTTTGTTTTGTTCACTGATATATCCTAAGCACCGAGACCATGTCTGGCACATAGTAGGTATTCAATTAATATTTGTGGACTAAATGAAAACCAAAATCAATCCATCTTCATCCCTCAAGTTTTACTAATGATGGTGTTGCTATATTATTATATCATAATATTTCTGATAATCATTTTATTAGTGTATTCCATATGTAGGTGTTAACAAATAGATAAAAATCAGTGTTAACAAATAGGTAAAAATAATACTTTACCATCCAGTATGAGAAGAGAGTTTTAGGAACTATATTTTTTTAAATGTATGAAGTAATTTGGGATGTTTAACATATTTAAGTGAAACCAATAGATTTCTGAGAGTCCTCCAGAATTGATTAGGAAATGGAAGGTGGGAAGCTTTTCAATTAAAAAGGTCTTTTTGATATATCTTTCTCAGATGGGAAAACTGACAACCATGCCTGTAAGTCTGATACATGCATCTATAAATGTATCTGGAGTCAAAGAAGAGGAATCCAAAAAGCAGCTAGTGAAACCAGAACAGGTAATTTGCCTACAAAAGTTTATGAACTTTGTATAATATAAAGATGATGCAAAATATGTGGAGTTTTATTTAGTTGCCTTTACTCATCAAAAATATCTTTGAAGTCTTTGTTAGGTAGATTTTATAAGTTGAAAGAAAAAGGTATCTCAAAAGAAACATTATATTTGACTCAACCATCTATATTCTGAGTTCAATGAAAACCAGTTGGTGATGTTTCTTAATAAATAATCAATAAGAAGTACAGGAACATAGACCTAAGCAATCTGAATGTTTTATCTTGAAAAATTTATACAGGTACATTGAGTATTAGGAAACCTATAGTTTAAGAAAATCACTAAGATCTCAGTTTTGGAAGTGACCTGAGATGTTTTCTAGATCAGCCTCCTGTATGGTACTATAATCCCCTAGGAACTGTTTATCCTCTACATGATTAAAATTTAGGGTAAAGTAACCTAAGGAGCCCAATCCACTTTTTGGAAGCACTCATTCAACTTAAGGTCCATCCTTTTGCCAAACAAACCTTTCTCATAATAACTTGTTGTATCTCTTGCAATTGTGCCATACAGAAAAAGTCTCATTTCTCTTTCAAAAACACAACTTCAGATGTCAGTTGTACTGTAATTTTGCTTCTTGGATAAGCATTTTAATTGCTTTAATTGTTTCTTGTATGTCATAGCTTTGAGTTCCTCACTATCGTGGTCATTCTCTGCCATTTCAGGATAGTTAGTGTTTCCTTCAGGTGTTAGTTTTGTTTTTATCTTTTTATATTTTTTTCAATTTTTGTTTTTTGGTGCTGTGACTTGGATATGAACCAAGGTGTATTTTGATTTCTACAGATTAGAATCAGACTCTAACTTCTTTAGTTCTAGATATGCTATTCTATTAATACTGCCTACTATCACATCCTTTTTTTTTTTTTTTTTTGAGTTGGAGTCTCACTCCGTTGCCCAGGCTGGAGTGCTGTGGCACACTCACTGCCACCCCAGTGTCCATCTGTTGTGCTCAGGTGATCCTTCTGCCTCAGCCTTCCAAGTAACTGGAACTATAGGCGTGCACTTCCACATCTGACTAACTTTTTAGTTTATATTATTGTAGAGACGAGGTCTCACCAAGTTACCCGGGCTGGTCTCGAACCTGTGGGCTCAGGCCATCCACTCACCTCGGCATCCCAAAGTGCTGGGATTGCAGGCTGAGCCACTGAGCCTGGCCACATTTTTATATTAATTTTTTTGAGTGCTCAAAATCAATCATGTTCATAACCAGCCCTTGACCATGACATAGTAAACTTGTGGTTCTCTAAAATTCATTAAGCATTTTTACATGGGCTGTTGATAAGCTATATCTTCTCCTAATCTGTACTTAGGTTTTTGGACTTTTTGAACTCTGCTGAAGGTATATTTATACCTGCTGAAATTTCATCTTGTTAATCTGGCCTATCATGCCAGTCTGTTGAACTATTAATTGTGGTTACTGAATCTATTAAACATTGTGCTTTTTATCTCTTTCAACCTCAAGTCACTCCTAAGATTTACCCACACACTAAATAATGTGTTCTTGAATTAGAAAGGCCTGCATCTGAATTCTGATTCCACTACTGATTGATTAGATGACGCTGGGCATAATTAATAATGTCATAAGTAACCTTTTGTATGAATGTACCACCATCACCTGTACAGTTTCCTTTAATTTTTAGAATATTTCCAATTAGTTTGCTGTTGTAATCAGCGCTTATTAAACCACCTTGTACCTAAATTTTTACGTATATCTATAACTATTTTCTTAGGATGAATTTCTACAAACAGAATTATAAGTCAAAAGGCACCAAAAAAATCAAAAATTGCCAAATGAACATGCATAAAAATAATATTCATACATTCAATAAAACATATTTCTTGAGCTCCTCTTGTATATGTGTCAGGCACTGTTCTAAGCACTAGGTAAAGTTTTATTAATTTTCATTAGCAATCTAGGGAAGCTTAACTTTCCTACACACTTGGTGATTCCCAGTGTTCTTCCTCTTTTTTTTATTAATCTTAGAAAGATGTTGCTTTTAAGTCTTCCTTGACACTCTCCTATTTGGACAGCTCACAGTCTAGCTAGGAGGAACAGTAACTAGCATTTGTCCGAATTAACTGAATTTATATATTTTTGAATTTTAAAATAGTGCTCTTCATTATAGAATGCACAGTATTCCTTGATATTTATTGTATTCTCCAGTACATTTTAAATTATAATTTAATTGAATTAATTATGAAATAAAGTTGGGTGCCGGCTATGTTCTAGGGACTATTCACCAAGTCAGGATCTAATCCTTGAAGAACATAGAATTTCTGAAGGGTTGAAAAAAATGTGATTTACATGCAACATTTCTAGGTACTTTTATTGTATAATGTGAGCTACACCTCTCTTTAAATCTATTTATTATGAAGCCTCTACTAAACTTTCTGAACGAGATGTTCTGGTTATTTGAATCTTTTGATAAACTTGTAGTTAAACAGAAAATCCTGTTTTAATTCAACTCTTTCTGTTAACCATCTTTTATACAAGTGTTTATTCCTGTGCCATCTAGTGAGCATAGTTAAATCTTCCTTTAATAGAAAACTCTTCAGAACCATGGGATGTTCATTCTTTTTAACAATGAAATTTGCAATGTGCAGATCAGTAAAATGACTGGCAATTGGGCTGCATGTATACAGCTGTACACATCCTTGGACATTTATTTTTAAAATCCCTCTGTGATGAGAGTTTGACTTATTTTCTTGTTATATGCTTGTTGTCACCAAGAATAACAGATAAAAATATCAATTTGAGAGTTCTAGTTACTTTGGTTCAATTTGATTTTAAATGTGGTTTATAGTTTATTGAATCCAATCATAATTTCTAACTGAGTAAAAACAAGTTGTATTTATACAGTAGTAAGTGGCATTTAAGCCCAAGATCTCCAATCCATAGTGAGAATATTCTTTCCTCAGTGGAGACTATAGTAACATCCTACTGGCTGGTTCTTAAAATTTTCATAATACAGCTGAAATCCTTTTATTATAAACCTTTCAATGTTTGAATGCCCATGCCTAAGAAGGAAAATACTTTATTTATTTTTTGTTTTTTTGTTTTGTTTTGTTTTTTTGAGTTGGAGTCTCACTCTGTCGCCCAGACTGGAGTGCAGTGGCCGCTCCTGGCCACCGCAGCCTCGACCTGCTGGGCTCCGGCGATCCTTCCGCCTCAGCCTTCCAAGTAGCCGGAATTACAGGCATGCGCTACCATGCCCGGTTGATTTTTTGATTTATTGTAGAGATGAGGTATTGCTGCCCAGGCGGGTCTCGAACTCATGGGCTCAGGCAATCCACTCACCTCAGCCTCCCAAAGGATTACAGGCTGAGCCACCGAGCCCGGCTTATTTTAATTTTTTTAAAAAATTGACAAAATTGTATATATTTGCCTTGTATAACATGATGTTTTGAAGATGCATACATTGTGGAATGACTAAATCTAACTCATTAACATATGCATTAACTCACAGTTATCATTTTTGTGGTGAGGACACTATATATCACTCCTTTAGCATTTTTCAAGAATACATTGTGTTGTTAGCTATAATCTCATGTCTATTGTTGGTAGAGGATCAAGTCAGAAGTCATTAATTGACTTAATTAATCATTAATTGGTTCCCTTGCTGCTGATGTGTAAACTTGATTCTCCCCAGTGATGTCATTAGCAAACTTAATAGAAAGGTCTACACCCTGAACAAAAAAAAAAAAAAAGCTTTTTTTTTATAAGGAAGTCAGTCCTTACCTGGTTACATTTTTCAGTTATTTTAAACTTATATTTGTTTTTATTAAATGTTAATAAAAATAAAAACCTGTTATTTGAAATACACATGAAAGGTATAATTAATAATAATATGATAATAATGATGAACATTCATGTATCTAGCACCCAGTTTCAAGGAAAATAAAAGTCTCGTGTTCCTGTTTCATTCAGAGATAATCACTACTCTTTTTATTATTATTCTCCTCTTTTATAATTTTACGTTATATGTCTGTATTGCCAAGCATCGTGTTTTTTGGTTTTTCAGGTTTGAACTATTTATGTATTGATGGAAACATTCTTGTCTGCAATTTTCTGCACCTCAGCTTTTTGGCTTAACATATTTCTGAAATTCATTCAAATTTTTCCATGTAGTTGTAATTTATAGTATTCCTTTGTATGTATATACCCTAATTTAATTATTTATTCTACTCTTGATGGACATTTGGGTTGTTTACAGATTTTTGTAATTAAAATGTTGTTATGGCCGGGCTCGGTGGCTCAGCCTGTAATCCCGCGCCTTTGGGAGGCTGAGGTGAGTG